TAGGTATTTTGTTGATGTCACTACTAAACTTACTAATCACTATTTCCGTGAAAACCTACGTCGTATCTGATACATAAGTGAAGTTGAAATAAAGATACTACAAAGAAAGGAAGGTACGTGCCATTATCGACATATTGTGTCTTGTCTGTCTTAAATTTACAAATCAGACGACTATTTTTGTATCTTTTAACAATTCTTAAACCACAAAAACATGTCTCTTATGAGTTGGAACAAGACACAATCAGTAAAATCAGACGACCATTTCAGTATCTTGTAAAAGATACAAGCCTCTCATGCGTTAATAAGTATACACCTGATATCGGTCAACCAGTTCGTCATGGTGACCGTACAACTTGTGTAGTGTAGATTTCAGTTGTTCTGCATGTTAACCTTTCTCGATCGGTTTTTGCTTTATGAGCACAAATAATATCAATAATGTCCATATAATTTGAATATGCACACAGGTAACGTCTCAATCGAGATGAAATCAAAATTCATTTTGTAAAAATTCCTCTTTTATTCGTTTTTTTAATTTCATTTGATACGTTACATGCGTGAATATTCAAATTACACAGACGTGGGCTTGTTCGTTGATGTCATACATTAAGGGTCTGTAATTTGTAAAACAGAATAATAAAGTACTAATATCACACATCATAACTGTTTTGTCCGGGTTTTTATTATAAAAAGATGTTAATTTAGAAAATGTTAGTATTGTCGCCTATGGGAGAATAAATACTACCGCTTTCCCCAATACTGGGGATAGCAAGGGAAATCAAAATCAATCAGAGTTCAGTTATATTGCACTATTTTAAAGCTTTTGATTAATACATTTGATTTTTATCACGAAGAATAGAAATCATTCTCCGAGACCAATACTGTGTTGAGAAAAGTGCTGAGTCAGCATGATAAGTCAAAGTGATGGGTACTAATATAAAACTTTATTCTAGGAATCCAATATTAGCTATATTGTATAAAATGCACCAAACTCTAGTTCTTTTGTATTTGTTTTAACCTTTCGCACTGATTGATTCAATTGGAAACACCTGAATTCAAGTCGCGACAAATATTTTTTACTGAAATATTTGGCTTCTTGTCTGTTTAATGCCCTAAATGTTTCCCAAGAGATAATCTACTAAATTTGGAAACTGTCTGGTTTATTTTATACTGTTTATGGAGTAAGGCAATATTTGGGCAATATAGAAGCATTTTCAGTGATAAAGTTGTCCATCTGCGGAAAAAAGAGGCAAAATTTAGATAGAATTTATACTCTCCTGTGTAAAGAATTGTTCACATTCTTGGCAGTTCATGCAGCAAATATTTCAATAATGCTTCATTTTGTAGTTTGTATCTTTTATTATATCATATATATCTAATTTTTCATTTTCTACTTTTGAAAGGACTATTTTTTGGGAATGAATACTCCCAAGGAACATAATTCGGCTTTTTTCATAGATTAATACAGGCAACAAAGGCAACTTTACAGCTGTGTTATTTGCATATTTAATGTTTTAAGTGTCCAACATATTTGTCTTTATCATCTCAAGACAGAATAATGGATTTTATAACATGCTCTGAAATTTAGACCACAATATTGCATATACTAAAGCATGGAATGGAGATTAGTATGAAAAATCATGAATTTGCGCTTATGTTGTAAATTTGGGGTAAAATGAATACTTATTGACTGGAACAGTAGTTTGTATTTGTTTAAATAGTACTGTTTACTATTCTTTTTAAATAAGATAAGATGTGATTGGATACATGTAATTTATCATGCCTTATCTGAAAGAAGTATAGAAAGATGTAAACCAGCATGTAGGAGTGGGGACATAAAATTATGCATGTTTTTTACGTAATGGGGACAGACAAGTATTTCTTATAGCCAGTAGTTTAACAATAACTCAGTATTGCATTGTTGGTATCATAGGAATTCTTTATATCTTTATGTCACAGTATATGGAAAAAAGTAGTATTACATTTTCCCGGCTTTAGGTCGGCCTTTCGAGTACCGAATGCAGGTGAAAGAAGTCATGAGTTGTGATTGGATGTAAGGATGCAGTATATTTTTTAACTTATTTATGAACAACTGCAGTGTGTATATTTACAATATAAATTTTGAAACACATTGAAATATTCCTTGAGAATTATTCAAAAAGGCTTCCAAATGTTCATAAATTTGATGTTAAATGAAATTTGGGCATCGACACCATAAACAAGCTCCGTTCGAAGATGGTCATGATACCATTTGACTTCAATTTCTAAAACAGAATAATAAAGTACTCATATCACACATAACTGTTTTGTCCAGGTTTTTATAATAAAAAGTGGTAAATTTAAAAAATGTTAGTATTGTCGCCTATGGAAGAATAAATACTACCGCTTTACCTGTAAGCCATCCGTGTGTGAAAGTTTTGCTCAATATTCTAAAGCATTGTTGGACAAAATTGATTTGAGGTACAAAAATATTTTTTTTAAAATAGCATTATGCGTTTCTTTTTTGTTTTTGTCGTTATAAAGATAACAGTTTTGTGGGTATTTTTGTTTTAAACGTAATACCCTGAATTAACTCAGATAGAACAATCCGCTTATAAAAGTTCTATAACCAAGTTTTCAAAATTGTTCTTATATCCTTTGAAATTATCTGTTTCTGTTTCTTTTAGTCTTTTAAATTTGTTCTTCTTGTCATGATATACTATATTAACATTTAAATCATTGTAGTCATGTATTCTGTTCATTGCATGAACTGACATTACATGATAGTCTTTCAAAAGTTGGAAAAATCACGGGATCTCAACAAATATTGAACTGAGCGTACAATTTGAATTTTGTATTGGGAAATTTGAGTATGTCTAGTTATCCAGTTGGCCAAACTGTTGATAACATAATCATCATGGATAACGAAACATACTCATGGTTATTTTTGTTATAATTTGCAATGTATTTTATGCAATGTTGTTGTCCAATTACCGTTTTCGTTATTTATTTTTTTTTGTTTGATTTTATTTTTCTTTTTGGGGAATTTTTGCCTTCTGTCATTCCAGATTTTTACAAATGAACACTTTAATATAAAATCGGTGATATTTTGAAAAGATGAGATATTCATGAATGTGCTGTATGTTTTTGAAGAAGATAAAAAGAATGACTGTTAATGTTTTATTTTATCTCAATCAAAAAATATTAAGACGTAGCACTAACATTAACAAGCATGGGTTTACCACTGTCGATATGTATATCTCCAACATGTGTTTTTTTAAGATAAATAAAAACATTCTTTACCACTCGCTATTATTGATCATATGTGTTATCACTATTTCTTTTAGGGTTCGTATTTATAAACGTGATTTAGTTTTTTTTTCTTGCGTCATTTTAGTTCTATTGTGGTATTTTTCTTTGGATTATGTCTTGCACCTCCTTGCTCACACAATATTGTCAATATAATGGAATGCTAAGCGACTGTCATACAAGTGAGAGGTTTAGCCAGCTATAAAACCAGGTTCAATCCACATTTTCTACATAAGGAAATGCCTGTGCCAAGTCAGGAATTTGACAGTTGTTTTCCATTTGTTGGATGTGTTTGAGCTTTTGATTTTGCCATTTGATAAAGGACTTTCCTTTTTGAATTCCTTTGAGTTCGGTGTTTTTGCTATTTTACATTTTTCTCCTTCTACCATATTGTTTACTATTGTCTTCTTAGTCTATAAGTGAGATTTGAAGATCGGTAAACAATTGTTGCCTTAATCATTAAAGGACAAACCCGGTAAACTTATCGATCCTTTAATAAACTTATTCGAAAAGGTTGCCAATTCAACACTGTAATTAGATCTTTGAATATTGTTTTTATTGGTATTAATATTGATTTTGTTATCAGTAAATTAAAATCAAACTGAATATTATTGTTATAAACATATGCACATTAATGGCTATACAATCTGTCGATACCTGTATCTTAGCATTGCACACGGTCATGTTTTTCTCTGACTGTTTATGACGTCTTTACACTAAATTCATTGGATGTTGGATGTGTACTGACTGATAATTTAGTCTCAGATGTATGATTTTTTTTATTAGTTGTTAATGGCTTTGAACTAGCTGTCAGTAACTGCGAGTACTCTCAGATCTGTGCTAAGTGTCTTTTTGTTGTTGGGATGTACAAGTACCCGTCCACGTCCATTTTGTGTTTTTGTTAGATGTATTTCTATTTGTATCCATCTGAAGAGTTAATCCTTTTTCAACTGATTTTTATAGTTTGTTTTCATGTTGTACTGTTACACCACTGTCCCAGGTTAGGGGAGGGTTGGCGCCTCCAAACTAGTTTAACCCCGCCACATTCTGTATGTGCCTATCCCAAGTCAGGAACTTGTAATTCAGTGGTTGTCGTTTGTTGCTGTGTTACATACTTGTATTTGTTTTTCGTTCATTATTTTGTATAAATAAATTAGTTTTCTCGTTTGAATTGTTTTACATTTGTCATTTCGGGGCCTTTTATAGCTGACTATGCGGTTTGGAATTTGCTCATTGTTGAAGGCCGTACGGTGACCTATAGTTGTTAATTTCTGTGTCATTTGGTCTATTGTGGAGAGTTGTCTCATTGGCAATCATACCACATCTTTTTATATTTATCACTTTGTTAAACAATTAAATGCAATGTTTGGTCCTTTCCCATTGAAACACGTTTCTTCTTCTGGTAAAGATAATTCATTTCAGTATTTTAAAATATCATACTAAACATCATTGATAATCAAAACACTCAACTAAAGATACCATCGATATCCAAATATTGAATCTTAAAGTAATGCATACCTTTATGATTTTTTTTAGGAAATAAATGAAAAATTTGATTCTATTTATAAAATGAAGTAATTTCTAATCTTCCGGCATTCGTTCAGAAAAGGTATCCAAAAAAACAAAACAAATTCAATATCATAAAAGCAGGGATTTGAAAATACTATAACTATAGGAGAAGGCAAAACAAATTGTAGCTAAACACAAGAAAAAGACAAATTAGGAAAGCATTTATTTCTCTTTTTATACTTTGAAGCAACAACTAAAACATGAAAGTATGAAACACGAGTAACAGAAGACACTCATGATTGTAAAAATAGCCACTACAATCACTTCTCCCAGAGTATTTCGAGATCAGTTTTATAAATGACAATCAGTCTAATCAAGGCGCGATACGATAAAACATTTTTTCTACTGACTTTAACGCTGGCTGTAGGAACTAAAATGTTGCATTCAAGTGAACAAAGCTATTTCGTGTGATCATACATTAAATTAGCTACGTACAGGCATTATCAGAGTTAAATAACTAATCGCTGATGGTATTATTCGCTATTAATCCCTAGCACTTAAAAACCCTGTTATTCAAAGTTTCTCAATTTTTACTGTAAATATCGTTAAAATCTCAAAACACAAACCATTAAAAAAATACATCTAGATGATCATCCGACAATATAAACATTAACCCAATAAATACTTTCATCGACCGTCGAAATTATAGATACTATAAAACCAAAGGAATTTTCTACTGTCAGTACTGCACATTTCTATCTTAGATGCTACAATGTTCTATTGCATACTTTTAAAAGCTGCTATTATTTTCGTTTAATTTCATACCCGATATCTACCATGCCAAAAAAGGGGAAAATTTATATAGTATTTATCCTATAATGTTAATGTGTTTACCAAAAATATTTTAAGTTAAAATTATTTTTTATTTCCATATAAACATCGTATATTATTAATATATTTAGTCGTCGATTTTTTTTCTCTGTAGAAAATAGTTGCAGTGAAAACTAGTAAGGTAGGAAATACTTTTCCCGTATCTCTACTTGATTAGACCGACAATGAATGCCTCGTAACGAAAAACGACGAAATCATACGAGTTGGATCAGTAACTAGTATTAGAAGCTTGTTGTTTTATTAGTTCTAATATAATGTATTATAGTACATTACAGCACTTGTTACAATGTTAATAGTTCAGTAAGGTTTAAATGCAAATTTTACTTAAATCTTATTGATGTAATGAATAATACAACTTTGTTTTAACCAATTAAATGTCTATGTTTCAATTTTTCAAAAACATCACTTTCACGGATTTGACCGTTGTGCTGACTCAAAACATAATAATTATCATAACAACAATCTCAAAGTCAACCATTATGAAATCTAACAAAATGTATGTAAGTATTATAATGTCAATGTTAAGCTGGTATATGAAATATACATGAAAGACGTTCAGAAAGTTTCTTCTCAGTAACAATTACCCAAATGACAAATGATTACAATAGATGATAAATACATTTAATAAATAACAACAAAAGTTATTCACCAGAGATCAGTTTCACAAAAAATCTTATGACTAAAGTTGATCGTACGTCATCAACAATTCAGTATACTTACGATCAACTTTAGTCGTAAGATTTTTTGTGAAACTGATCTCTGGTCCTTTCTGAATGGGCAGAGATATAGCAATAACGGTTATCACAACAATAACTTGTTAATTGTATGCATTGTCCAGTCAGGCTATTTCAAGGACAGCAACAACAAGAGACAAATGTCCATGATATGTCATATGGTGTCATTGCACAGTTTCGTTTTGCCTCATGAAAACAGATTATTGTAACTTGTCCTAATCAATAGAAAAGGGTTGACGGTTTTTTTTTCGGGGGGGGGGGGGGGGGGGTAAGAACAATGACCCATAGTCCTTAAAATTCTTAAACAGCGAATTGAATGGAAAGTATTGTTAAAATTGATTGTGCTGGTCTTTTAATATTTTTTTTTTATAAAGAAAACCATTACATGTAAGACATCTACGGTGATCATTCAACATATTTCAAAGAAGTCATTCCTTCATACTACGTTCGTCATTTCAGATGTAATCGGAAATCGTTTGGGTACTACATTCATGAAACATTTGTGGAAATAGGCGACATAACAATATTAAGGTCATTGCACTAAATATTGCACAAGTTTGAGAGTGCAGTAAATTTTCAAATACATTTAATATTTGTCATTGTTTGTGTAATAACTCTTAGTTTTTGCTATTGCTCAACAATATTGCACCAGGCAATAGCAGGGAAAATAATTTGCAAATTTTCGTTAACGTCCTAAGTGGAACATTATTTTGCAATTAAATAATGAATAAAAATGTACAATAACTTAATAATGGTACACAATATTTATCACACAATAAAGAATTAAAATTTAATTCAACCAGCATTGTTTCCATCATCATCCAACAACATAAGTCTTGTACTTAAACAGTTTTTTTTCTATTTACATGACTGGCAATTGCTTCTACATTATGTACATTAATTAATATAAAATTAAATAAAGCTATGTTATTGCAAATAAATATACGTAACACTATCAACAATCTATTGCGTAAGATGTAAAATATAATTATTTTCTTTACTAAATAGTACTATGCAATAAACTTTATCTAATATCTTCCTTGTCTTATGTTTTGTAAATCAAAATCAAGAGGACCTGAAATCCCCACCGATTCTTGGTAGAGTTCATGTTGCTCAAGCTATATTTTTTGATATAATGTTTTGTGGAGTCCTATTCTTTTCTTTTCGTTCTTTTTTGGACATGGTGTTGTCTTCTTGTCTTCGATATTTTGGGTTTTGATAGCCACCATGGTAGCTTTTGACTTTACCTTAAGACGATAGTATCTCAAAATCAAACATTTGTTTCTTCACAATCAAAACAGATAAACCAAAGAATGAAAGAAATTGGAAAACTATTGTTTGCACCATTGTGTAATGAAAAGTTTCACAAAAATATTAACAATATATACACCAAGTTCAAAACAATAAATGCTTGTAACCGACCCATGTATTACAACATTAGGTCTAATACCCTTCATTACTCTGAAATATGACATGTTTGTCAATTTAAATAAAAATGATATTTGTACATGTGTTATATTTAACAAGTGTATGATTGATGCATATATATATATTCGAAAATGTCAACGTCCACAGCAGGCTCTTTTTTCTTCTGGTTTTTCATGCAGCTGAAGCCCAACTGTTTTGACCTCTAAATCCTCGTTTGCTCGCATTAATCTACAAAGAAAATATGTTTTCGAAATATTATTTGACTGTGATGACATATTGCATATTCGAAAAAAAAACATAATTCAAATGAGTTTTAATTATAGTTTTGAAGCTAATAAAATGTCTTTTTGATTATTTTATCATTATTACCATTTAACTTTAAAAAAATAATATCATTTTCACTCCAGGTAGATTCAAAGGAAAAATTCTTACCTTGTTAATTCGGTTATTGCTTCTGTTATATTAGAGCCATCTTTAGCACTAGTTTCTATGAATAAAGCACTTACATCCTACAAAATAAGAAAACAATATTAAGTCAGCTTCTGTCAATCAAGTTTAAGAATACATTGAATAATTTTAATTTCTCTTAGGATTTTATGAGTGAAAATTGAATAACTTAACCAACTTCAACTGAATATTTATAGCTCAATTTAATACTTATTATACTAGTTTATATCATAATATATAATCGTCATAAATAATTTTCTTACTTCTACCCAGTCTTGAAAACTCACTTTTGCGAACATATATGAATCAACGGCAATGTGGGGTTAACGTAAACGAAACAATAATCCACTAGTGATTTCATAAAGACATCGCTTTAAAATTTCAAGACGTCACAAACTCTTTTTTCACAAGAGGGCATTAGTTACCTTTAACATTAAGGAAGTAAAATTTATTCTCCTTAATGGCTTTGTTCACCGGCGCACACAATTACTACGATGTACAATCGGAACACAGATACTAAAACTTAATAACAATCCGCGAAAAGAACAATATATATAAAATTCGTCTAGGATTCTACTAAACATCTTTCTAAATTTGAAAGATCGACTATATTTCATTACACATTGCTTTTTCCATCAAAAATGGAAATCACAGATACACATTTTTATCTTAAGGTTACGCAAAATATTCCTGTGTGATTAACCACAACAATCATTGCGGAGAAAATATTACTAAAATGCTAGACTTTATGATCGACAACATATATATCGAGTTTGGTGGATTGTTACTTGTTATTTCAACAAACAGTCAATTATCGAATGGGTACTTATTGTGCATCCCTACTGGCCGACTTTTTGTATTCATATTGAGCAGTAGTCATACAAAACCCTCTCAAAGACAACAAAAAATAATCTTGCCAAGTTTTCTACTGAAACAAGAAGGTTTGGATTTTGTTGTTGATGAAACTGACACAGATTGACGTCTTCACACTAGGATCCATGACAAACGAGACGATTTCCTCATTGTCAACTTCCCATTTTTCATTAGTAACATACGTTCTGTGCAATACGTGCGTGTATGTTTACATTATTCGGACAAAGCTCAAGCAGTATTATCAGGAAGTACGACTGAAATCGGCACTACACAAATTAGCGGTCACCTCACATTGGTTGACCGGTACAATGTGCCTCTGTTTCAACACATGAGACAATTTTTCCTGTCTCAGTTCTTTAGAAACCAGAATATTCGTCTGAACTGTAAATAGATCGATTGTGTCATATTTCCTATCTGCCGATCGGACATTTTGTCGGAGTCTAGATTATCATGGCGGTTGTGGCATTCGTAGCGTGATATACTTAACATGTTGATGCACCCGTTCTTGCTCCTTTTCGGTTTTGCGCATTTCTATCATTTGTTTTTTGACTCAATCTTTATATTCTAAAAGAAAGGCGGAAGATACCAAAGATATTCAAACTCATAAATCCAAGAAAAACTGACAACGCCATTGCTATATATGTTGTAAAATGATTCAATGATGAAAATATTACATTCATTGAAATCTCAGACGACACTCCAAAATATACATGCATGTCGAACCAACAAGAAAAAGAGGGACGAAAGATACCAGAGGGACAGTCAAACTCATAGATCGAAAACAAACTGACAATACCATGCCCAAAAATAAAAAGAAAATTGTTCCTCGAAAAGAAGGAACCAATGGACAACACCATTTAGGATTTTACAATATAAAAAGAAGAAGCGTTCTTACAATGCGTTCTTGTTTCTCATTTTTAAGGCCGTATTGTGAACTCTAGTGATCTACATCCTTGTCATTATGTATTACCACATACAACATTGCCTTATTTTCATACTGTTTATAAACTTTAGTATGAAGATAACCATAAAAATTATAAGTATTTTCTTCAACTTTGTAAGTAGGAAAGTTGATGAATTTCATTTGTGTATCTAAAATCATCTGAATTTTTTAATAGAGTACATGTCGTCTTAATATCTGTATGTATCGTTGAAATACTTTTTAAGTGATGATTTTGTGGGTCTTTAGGAAATCAATAAATCATAGTGATAAGCCCTCGTCTGTCCTGTTTGTCAAACTTTACAGATTTCTTACCATTTTTGCATCGTCATCAGAAACTATTCGTATATATAGTTATTCAACATAACCTCTCCACTTAACCAACCTTTGTCTAACACCGTGAAGAAACAAGGTAAACCTGTTTCCATCAGGTTGCAATTCAAAATTAACAAAAATAGCTAACTCCAAGGTAAATTCAATAAGTGGAAGTCCATAAAACCTAACAAAATCAAACGCTAGGCAATATCAACCAACGGAACGAATGGAAATTAGCTGTCATATTCCTGACTTGGTACAGACATTTTCCGAAAAAATGATAGGTTAAACCTGGTTGTATAGCTAGTTTAACCTCCCACTTGTATGAAAATTGTTTTTAGTTCCGTTATATTGACACAATTGGGTGAGCAAACCAAACAGACATAATTGGCTAACTTTTTAATAATTGGGATCCAGCAGCCTAAACTAGGTAAACATACACACCAGACATACAACACAATTTACTTAAAAATTCCAACAAACATACAAATAAATCTGACAAAGACGCCAACAATAAAGTGTTTGTAGTTGAAAGTACAAACAGTAAAGTAAAACATAATGATATATAGACTTTCGGGATGAAATACAAATCAAATAAAATATAAATACAAGGGTATACAAAAAATAAAATTGTATACAAAAAAATATAAGGTTATGCAAAAATTAAAAAAAACAACACTATAAAATACTCATGCGTCCGAATCCTAGTCTACATGTTTTTTTATGTTTAACTTCGTCGATCTGTGTTATCCTTGTACATTAATGTAAATGTAAAGGACATTTCTGGCTAACTATTGACTACTCTATGTTTCTAGCTTACCTTTGCCAACTTTTGTCCAACGTTATGAGCGACCACACGTCGTCCCTGTTTTTCTGCTTCTGGTCGCATGTCTGTTTTATTGCCAATCAACATTATTGGGATTTTCTTTTGAGCACCATCCTATACATATATATATATGAATATAGATTTCTTTCAAAATAATATCACTGTTTCCTCAGGTTAGTTCTTAAAACTTCCATTTTTACTTTCATAACTATCTTGTAACACTTGTATGATAAATTTTAATAAAAATATAGGAAGTTCTACTAATAAAAATTTTCTTTTGCAAGAATCTATGTGGTATCAAATGTATTGGTACTTTTTCAAGCATCTTTCAAATAATCGAGTTCATCATTTCACAAAGACACACATACCTCGATTGCTTCAACCCACTCCCTGATACTAAGAAAGGATCGTTCATATGTACAATCATACAGAAGAAACACACCATCAGCTCGGCGGAAATAAGATTTAGCAATACTTCGGAACCTGTAATAATAACATTGTTCTATTTTACTCATTTATAATGAATGAATATTGAACAGTTCAATCAAAAATACAATATTAAGGTAATTACTGGAAGAGTGTGTTTATCGAGTGTTATATATCTTTCAAATTTGTATGTGTACTCAGTGTGTAATGTGACATTGTTCATATATTTGTTCCTTTTGATGATATTATTCAATTTTTGACATTTGAAATAACCATGGAATTAACTTTATTTTTACATTCTAATCTTTATTATAAATGAGTAGATGTGGTTACCTTTCTTGGCCAGCAGTATCCCACAGTTGTAAAGCTACAGTCTTGTCATCTACCTCTAAAACCTTTGTCTGAAAGTCCACACCTGTGAAAAAAGGATGTCCATCAATTATAAGTTGACTGACTCTCAACTTTTAAAAAAATGACTTTTAGAAACAATAAAAATACAGGAATATTCAAAACTATGTGTATATAAATTATGGATCTCTGACCATTCAGTCCTTTGAACTTTTGTGTGAGTTTAAGTATTAAAGAAAGAAAATAAGTGAGCACTTGAGAATTTGTACTATAAAGACGATCAAAATATCATAAATGAACATACAATAATCGTCTTACCATAAAAGAAAATGAATCGTACATTATCATAATTAACCTCAAGCACCAACATTTAAACAACATAAATAAATAGAAAACATCTGTAATCTCCAAACACAAAGCATTTAACAAATGCATTCTGTTCCTAAGCTTTGTTGTATCAAATAATGAATGAGATTTTCTTACCTAATGTCGAACTGAGATTGCTAACAAATTTTCCTTTACAAAGCCTCATTATGAAACAAGATTTTCCAACAGCTGCATCTCCTGCCAACACAATTTTATACATTCTATCTGGGTCTCTATTTGCACTTCTCTGTGTAAATAAATTAAATAAAATTATAGTCATTTACTACTGAAATGTATAAAATCTATTACATTAATTGTCTTCTCATAACTGTTGAAATTTATAGTTTGAGATTTAATTACTGGTAAAAAGATTAAAGAAAAATTGCATTTACATTTAATTTAAGTACCTCTTGTGAGCCGTTGCTGGTTTTTCGTATTAAGCTGTTTCTATGGATTGCAGGTGATGATCTGCCTCCGTGGTCTGTATCCCTATCCCTATCCCTGTTCTTTGACCTTGTCCGTGACTTTCTGCTGCTATTACTTCCGGAACTCAATCTGACGGGATCATATCTTCTGATTGGTTTAGAATGTAACTGATCAAACTCAGCTTCTGTTTCGATTTCATCATGTGAATCATTTTCCTAGCAATGATACAGAGGTTTTTGGTTATATTTTTCTGTTGTTATTTGGTTTATTTCTTTTGACTTCTTAAATCAACGGATACGATTAAACAATAACATATAAGTACTGTGAGTAAAGCTTATAAAATGACATTAGTACCGTGTATCATTAATATCCTTCCAGACAGTCAACTGCTTGGATCCAGATACGACTAGCACCGACAGAAAGATACAGTTGCAGGTAAAGTTTGGGAAACTTAAACATAAATCCTCATTTGTAAGAAAAAATAGTAAGTTGTATGCATTGGTTTACTAAGCATACCCCTCGTAATTCACGGAATCGGAAAAAACATCAAGTATATTTTATGGTTCAACAAATATTTCACCCATTACAACTCATCACTGTCAAACAAAATATGAATTAATTCTGTTCAATAGTACCAGAGAAGTGTGTGAAGGAAATATGTTCAATAGTACCAGAGAAATATGTGAAAGAAATATTAGGTTCGTTCAACATAACGAAAAAGGTTGTTCAAACAGTTAGCATGTGTCTGACGGATCCGAAAAGTGCTCACACCTTACAATTCATCACTATCAAGCTGCTGACCATATATAAAGTAATTCATTTCAATATTACTTAGAAAAGTTTGACTAAATAGTTGTTGGACAAACGGAAGGCATGACAAGGTGAATGCAATATAGCTCTCACTACTAGAATGAAGATGTAATGAAAAAGAAAGGCGTAGGGCATTTACATGTTAGGTGTCAATAGTCAGAAACTAATGCAAACATCAATCAGACATCTAATCCAGAGATGTGCGTGTTGCAAAGAACGACAACTTAAATTTTCGACAAGTAAAACTCTTCAACATTGGAATCATTAATTCGAACATCTTTAAAATAAAATTATAGCTTTATTTCTCCAATCTGAAAATAGTGTAAGTGTACGACATTGACTTAACAATATACAACTGATTTTTGTTTCGTGTAATTCTCATTTTGTTTTCTTTTTTCATAGGTTGTTGTATTTTGGGCATTTAAGAAATCTTAAGAAAGAGATTTTCGGTTTCACAAGCGTGTATTTTCCCGTAAAATGCTTATATTCTTACGTCATCGTTCTATGACGTCGGGTAGCCAATTCATTAAAAAATATATGACGCGGGAGTACGATTGGAACAGCCCAAACAATATATTCATATTTTACCACGGGTGTGTACTCAAAGCGTTTGAAGAACGTCATGTTAGAATACCTTGTAACATATGGCAGCTTTTTATATGTTGTTTTTTCAGCATGCTATTATATATTTAACTACAGGATTACCTCATTTTTTCGTATATAACTAGATTCTCTCCGATGCCTTCTATTGTTATGTGATCGTCTATAGTAGTCATCGTCAGGATTCTGGCCTTCAGGGTCAGAATCATCATTGAGATCTCGAAGGGTAGAATGACCGCTGTCTGCTTAACCAGATAAAATAAAGAAAAACTTAAACCATACGTTGATTTATAATTGTGCTTTCATTTATGTGTAGTTTGCTTTTTGTACATTACAAATTATTCAAATTGTCTTTGCTTTCACAGAAAGTACTTACATGTTTCAAATATGTTTTCTTGTAATAGGTCTAAAAATGCTTTAAAGAAAGTTTTTTTCCTAGAGAAATAAGTAGCATTTTTAATTCAAAACAATTGACGATCAGCGGTTAAATCTGTGTACGACTTGTATTCATTTAAATGGTTAATTACCAATTTCATCCGCATCATCATCCTCACAAGTCTCGTCACGTGGTAATATAGCCCGGATGACACGTGGTGACTGTCCTGGTAGTGAAAATGCATTTACTGACACGTTGTTTGTTTGTAAATCCTCGGCCAGCGAGGGTGTGGGGCTTATATTTAATGATCGTACTCTGTAAAAGAAAATAAACACTGTTTATCAAGTAAATATTCGGTAAGGATGCAATTAAAAGCTAAAATTTTAAAGGTTTTGCCCAGAAGTAAATGAACTTTGAAAAAAATGTAATTTGTTTTTCCTTTTATTGGTGATTTTTATTATCAAAGCTTTCCTTGCTTATACATCATATTCCCTTGATCATTCATTGATAGCGCCTACTTCAATTAATATCAAATTGAAATTTTAAGGAACATAATTAATATTATTTTATTTTGCAAAAACACTGAAGTTTATTTTTTTAGTAAAAACGTCAAAGTTTGGCAAGATTTATATATATAGAGATTATACATGTTTTAGCTGGCTTTTTTCCTTTTTCCCTTTGACATATACTTGGTTATTGTTTTTGCTGTTGTTGTTAATAATGTATAGTATTGTAATATGCTCTTTGTGAGCCCATTTAATAGAAATAAACCATATTCTTCTTCTATGAAAAACTTTTATCCTTGATAGAATGCTACTATTAAGTAAAACGATAAATAATATATTCAAAGGAGATGGCATGTAAACTGTATCATAAAGAGTACTTGCCAAATTTTAATAGATTTAATCAATTCAACTTTGGTTCAGGTCCGAAAGTCAGATTATGAGATTTTGTAAGAATTAGGGCATGACAGTATTGTCACAAAACAATACCAATAAGAACCCACATGTGCACTGTAGACTTTATAATATCATTATTGAACAAAACCTAAATCAATTTCATTTTGCTTAAATGCAAAGTCTCTATAAACGTTAAAATCAAAATTAGTTACTCATTTCGATGTGCAAATCAGGACTATATTTTTATCTTATCCCACAAGCAACTGTATATGTAAGTATGGTTAGTATGAAATATAGAAACAAATATTCCCACGGATACAAGTTGTAGGCATATCATAAAATAAAAATCGCCTTTAAATTGTAGCAAAAAACTATAAGTATCTACGCAAATAAATATGTTTTACTTTCTATGAATGATAATATGCTACATGTCAAGTTACCTGCCATTGTGAGATGTAGGATTTCTCCTAGGTCTGTAAAATGTGAATTAGCGTTAGTCCTGACTGAGTTTTTTCATTGCTCTCTCTTTCTCAATTTTTATAATCGTAATGTTTGTCGTTTAACTAAACATTGCACATTTTACAACTTTTGAACCTACTACAATCCTCACCACTAAGACTACTACGTATTTAATCAGGAAAAGCTGGCATGTCGTAATGAAAAGTCCGGTGTATGTCAACAGAATTGAATAAAACCAGGGTAAAAAAAACAAACCAAAATCGAATTGACTATTGGCTTTAACACAATCCGAAACTGTTTTTAATGTTTTTAACAGGCAATAAGAACGATAATGGTAATTTGGAGTCGTCTGCTTTTTGTAATCATTTTTAAAATCTGACTGCTTAAAACTATCCTAAAATAACCGAAGAATTTGAATAAAATAACCAAGAGTTCGTGTTTAACGAAGTTGACCCGATCTTTTCACCAGAAGAAGAATGTGAAGTCTTCTTAAATTTTAATTGTCGGAAATCGCCTGGTATAGACAGTTTATTAAATGACTGTTATTTTTTACTTAATAATAGTAAGAGGATATATAAGCTAAGAGATATAAGCAAATCGGAATGATACAAACTTTTATTTTTTTTAAATCATGTCTTTGGAAAATAATGAAATTGGAAATTAAGAAAAACTTTTCAAGTATACAAGAACTTAGTTATATTCTCGCTTAACTCCATGCACTTTCCATATATCACTGGGAACATGGTATATGCACTCAATTTACGCAAAAAAATCGCTTAAATTCCAGTATCCATGCACTATCAATATATCTTGGGAAAAGGGTGACAGCACTCACTTTAAGCTTAGATACTTTTCTAAATTAGAAATCACTACCGATTATTAACTGTTAAGTTATCATTTTGACTATATTTTGACATGAAACGAAACCCTAATTATATTCACTGTTGGATTTTTCTGGTAACGCATTGTCAAATGTAGGCGTATAAAATGCATTTTCTCTTTATTAGGTTTATGAAAATAATTAAGTCTATATCAATATATATATTATACTTCACTTGAATTGTTACGTAACAAAATTTAGATAAATGTTACTCCGGAGATGAAAGTAAAGATATGACAATCGACATTGATTACCCTGCTGTTCAAAGCAGATAATGTATTTAATTTGATATTTAAAAGCAGCTTCTAAGTATAAGAAAAATGTCTCGTCCTATGACTGTTATATTCAAATGTGGGTACATGTTGAAGCAGTGTTGTTAAGTAATGATTAGTCCAGTACATAAAAAAATTACCGATAATCGTATCCCATTAAGTAGTTGTGTCTGCAAAAATAATGCTCAGTTATAAACGAAAGGCTCAATTTATGAGCCGACGAAAATCGTATTTTAATACATGTTCAATTAAACTTCATACTTGGTCATGGTACGACAGATACTTTTGTTGATTAACATTCAATTATTAATAAATATTTGGGTTTAATGAAAAAGCTGTACTGCTGTTTTATAGATTATAAAATGCTTTTGATAAACTGAATAGAAATGTTCTATCTTTTAAATTTGAATGATGTGATATTCATTGTAAATTGTTTACAATCATAAATTCTTTTTTGATAATTCTGTTAGTTTCAAAAAACACTTTTCTGACATTTTCCCTGTAGAAAAAGGTGTAATACAAGGAGGACCATTATCACCCTTATCATTTTCATTGTTTTTAAATAAATTTTGAAAAAAAACTTTATTAATAGTTTATTCCTACAGTCAAAATTTGCGAACTTTCATTATGTTTATCGATTATGTAAATGCATTTGCTTATGCACTGGTTCAATTATAGTCAACAAAGAATGTAAAGGAATTGTCTATTTTAGGAAAATATTTCAAAATAGGATACACATGACTGGTGTATGTCAACAGAATTGATTCAAACGAAGGTATATAAAAACACAGCCAAACTAAAAGCGGATCTTCTAGATGTGTGATTTACACAAGTGAGATATAAATAAGTGTGGAGAGGCAAAGTAAATTCATTGAAAAACAAGTAATATTATTTGAAAATACATACGATGATGGTCCGCTAGGTAGATAGTCACTCATTAATGAGCCTCTTCTGTCACCTGCTATTGAGTTAGGTAATGACTGAAAAGTTCAAAATTATAACCTCACGACAATGCATTTTTTAAATAAAAAGTTAAAAATAAATCATTTTACAACCGTCCATGACAAGTATGAAACTATCATTCAGAATCAATTGGAATTTACCTAAACATTCATAATTTCCGAACTACTTGCACTTTAATAAAAATTTAAAAAAAACAACAAAAAAGTCACATTCATAATTTGAACATTTTTAGGATATACCGCGTCGTAAGTTTTCACATACTTAAAGAATGACTTAAACATAAAATAGCACTGTACATAAACAGAACAAAGCACTTTTCGTTCATTGTCACTTTACTTGAACAGAAATTTTCCCATCAACTCTAAACAGTTTTGTAGTAACACTATATAGTAATTCAGTGTCGATAATTTTAATAATTTTGTTCCATTGCATTAATATCTATACATTCAGCATCTATTACTCGACATTAATTGAAACAATGTAAGCAATTTTACTTACAACAGATGACAGCTGTCTGTTTGGTACTCGCTTCTCGAAAGATTCAATTAAATCATCGTTATGGTCATGTAGTTGTTTATTAGCATTACTGAAATGCAGTAAAAAGATCAAATAATATGTTATATATAACTAACTTTTGAACTTCGCAGTTAAGAGAAGTAAGAGGTAAACGGATGATCAGAAACCGTAAATCAAAGGACAGACAACTGTCCATGGTAAAATTGAAAACATTACACAACAATCTGAATATTAAGAAAAAAACAATACAAATCTGTTTAAATTACCAGTGCACCCATAGGGTGATAGTTAAGCAAAACTTTCTATATAAATATGTCTACCTCCATATCAAAATCTAGCAACAATCATACTCAATTAAAATCCTAAGCCAGAAAATAAGGAGATGACTGTGGCTATTCCAAACGGCAAAGATAACCTGTCATGATGGCGTTTACATATTAAACTTTCGAGGTAATGCGATCGACCCTTCACATAAGAAACTCCTAGGTTCATTTGTTTTTTTGTTAGCATTAATAAATTATCATGGAAATTCAAATCAAAAACACAAGTAATAGAATATCGTATATGATAATTACAAATCACCGAAAAATAACAATATATAAATAAGAAGATGTGGTATGAGTGCCAATGAGACAACTCTCCATCCAAGTCACAATGTATAAAAAGTTAACAATTATAGGTCACAGTACGGCCTTCAACACGAAGCCTTGGCTCACACCGAACAGCAAGATATAAATGGCTATACCTCAATTAACTTAACTTAATTATGTATACTCTAACTTACTGTTAGAATATTTTAGCACTCACAATTGACGCACAATACCCCTGTAGTAGCTATTGTCATTGTAACAGTGATAAAAAATACTAAGGACTTCGTGGATCAATTCGAAGACACAGCAATATACTATTAAATATTTCAGTGACGGGAGAAATAAATGGAGCCCATTAAACGATCCAAACGTATGTCTGTAACATACTTTTCTTTTAAAAGTTGTCGCTCTTTAAACACGAGGAGGCAATACTTATTGTAACACGTGTAACTGTCGTGTCAAGTTGTCGTTTTTAACCACCATGTCAAGTTGTCGTGTATAACAGTCATACTTACTGCATCAAGTGTAACAGCCATGTCAAGGTCGTATTTAACAGCCATACTTACTGTAACAAGTGTAACTGTCGTGTCAAATTGTCGTACATAACAGCCATACTTGCTGTAACAAGTGTAACTGCCATGTCAAGTTGTCGTACATAACAGCCATACTTACTGTAACAAGTGTAACTGTTGTGTCAAGTTGTCGTACATAACAGCCATACTTACTGTAACAAGTGTAACTATCGGGTCAAGTTGTCGTACATAACAGCCATACTTACTGTTACAAGTGTAACTGTTGTGTCAAGTTGTCGTATTTAACAGCCATACTTACTGTAACAAGTGTAACTGTCGTGTCAAGTTGTCTTGTTCTTTTATTATATCTGCTACAGTGGCTTTCTCCCTTCAAGATAAAAATGCAACTTTAATGCTTAATCATATCATCTTGTTCGTCAAAAAAGTCTAACAAAATATCCCTGGAAATCTTCTTATTTTCAAGGGTTTACTAATCTGATTTTATCTCAATGATGCTTATATTAGTTTACATAATACATAATAAACATCTAGTAAACTTGTTTTCAGGCTTATAGCTTACAGTGGTAATATAAAAATAGTCTATGAATTGATTACTCCCGACCAAAGAGAATACTTACAAGTGTAATTCTCTGACTTTTTCTTGGTAGGACTGTTTATACGTTGACAACTCTGTCCGTACCACAGCCATATTTGTTTTATTGTCCGTTAATTCACTCTTTAATTGTCTATTTTCCACTGATATATCATTTAATGATTTCTGCAAATTCAAAAGTTGTTCTTCCATTTCTTTGTTTTCTTTCCCTAGTCCCTCCTGTAAAGAAACAGTTTTATGTGCATAAATTCCAATTATATTGTAGTAATGGATACATAATGAAGATTTGTCGACATTCATATTTAAAAATCTAAAGCATAGTATTATTTGTTTCTCCATACTGATATTGTCTATAAATTAAATTAGCTAAAAAGAAGTACATGTTAATGAAATTCAGTATGTAATACATGTTGACTATTCCACAAGAAATTTAGGGAAAATAAAGGAAACACATGAAACAATATTACAAATTGTATGCTTTTGCTATCGAAGAAATCTTTTTCTAATCATTCTTTTCAAATCAGAAAAAAACATTGTTGTTTTTCTTTGTATATTAAAGATTATCCACTTTTTAAAGTAAGAAAGCTGAAAAGAAAAAAAACCCCAACCCACATTAATTGGTTTATCTACGTTTAAGATGAGAAGATTAATTGCCTTTTTCACCTGTTGCATGACATTGTAACTTTGTTGACATGTTAACAACTCTGTCTCTAGTTCTTTCTTCAGTTGAGCTTTTTCTTGTTGTACTTTTCTTTGTTCCTGTTAAAATCAAACACTTATGTGTTATATACACGTATAAGATGCATGTCTATATATATATATATATATATATGAGCTAGACTCTTATATATGACTGTTAGCCGTGAAAATATTTTCGTTCAGTATTTAAACACCTTCAGCAGGGAAAGATTTCGTTATTAATTGGCTTTCAAACTTTTGGTCTCAAAGTAACGGATGAAGGCTAATTAATACAGTAAGACCTTGCGTGACCAAGAAAATCATTACTATACGTTTTTCTGCTACTAAAGCGTCGGCGACATTACTAGTGGACTGTCATTCTCCGAGAGTACTATCCGAGTAGAAGCAAGTACTTATTGCATGATATAAAGATACACTTTTTGATAACATAAATAGAGTAATTGTACAAAACTAAGATCAGTACTCCCTCAACGTCGCCCTTAGGCGGTCTGGGTTATTCTGTATAAGCCCTTTTGATTTCTATGCCTTTATCATATTTAAATCTTTGTCTCTCAAAAAGTTTGGTCACGAGAGTATCTGATGAAGGTAATTCCATAAACACGTGTTGGACGTAGGGAGACCAGTGTCATACCTTTAATGGTAAGGTCATTCCAGAAACACGGGTCGGACGTAGGGAAACCAGTGTCATACCTTTAATGGTAAGGTCATTCCAGAAACACGGGTCGGACGTAGGGAAACCAGTGTCATACCTTTAATGGTGAGGTCATTCCAGAAACACGTGTTGGACGTAGGGAAACCAGTGTCATACCTTTAATGGTAAGGTCATTCCAGAAACACGTGTTGGACGTAGGGAAACCAGTGTCATACCTTTAATTGTAAGGTCATTCCAGAAACACGTGTCGGACGTAGGGAAACCAGTGTCATACCTTTAATGGTAAGGTAATTTTTTTAAACTGTAATTTACATTTCTGAGACTCTCAATTATATTTTATCTCCCAAGACTACACAAAGATAGAGTAAACAAATCTATCATTTTCTAACACTGCTTTAATTCAAGCATCTGTGCGATGTACAGACATTGTGTAATAAATTTAATTGTATCCTTTTTTTTATATTTGCAAAAAATCTATATTCTTTTCCTCATTGTTTGTTTAATTTCAATAGTATCAATATCTAATTTCATTAATATCTTATAAAATAGACACCTCCAATAAAGTCTGGTACTGAATTCACAGCTTTATTAAAAACTTACAAAACATATACAAATTTTTGGATTCAAATTAGAAAACAATCATAAAAATCAATGTTATACATATTCCATATACAATGTACTACTGGTTGTTAGGTAACATGTGTTTCAAAGCTTGAAAAAGGTCAATTGGAAAATTTTTCTTACCTATGGATAGTTTTCCTATGAATCATGGACGCCAGCTTGCAATGCAATAGTGTTGATGTTTTGATAATAAATATGAATGACAATTTTACTTGTTTTGTATAGACAAGATAAACAGCTGATTTATATTATATAATACCAGATAAGGCTAGATGGCTTTTGCCATATTTATACTGCATGGAACAAAGTCGCCAGTGTCACTGTTTCCACTGATTCCAGTTTCCTTATAGTAAATTTCATATTTAATCTTTTTGGAATTCAGTTTAAAAATCTGCTGTTATTTTTTTCTCTCTTTTAATTAGACACAAATGTTCACACACATATTATTTGTATGAATTAAAACAAATGCATCCATTATTGTACTAATGAATCAAATTCAAATCCTTTTATAATAATATGAATAAATGTTATGAGGTATAAGTAAATGAGATGACACCAATCAAAATTCAAAATAAATATAATGTTAACTTACTTTTTCCCTTATTCGTTCTTCCATTTTTGACATTTCTCTTTCCATTTCGTCTTCCAATTGTCGCAAATGTTTGTCATGTTGAATTTTTTCTCTAAAAAGTTATATATAAGTTGCAAATCACATATGCATTTATGGTTTGAAAGACAAATCAGAACTTCGAAGTGATCATAGACATTCAATGCTTTACTGAATCAGTTACTCAGTTTACTTTTTTTTTTCTAAAAAGTAAAATAACAAAAATACCGAACTCCAAGGAAAACTCAAGGCGGAAATTCCATTATTAAACGTGTAGATCATTTTACGTACCAGACATTAAAACTATGTTTGTTTATTAAAGGTAAAATAATGACAATACACTTGATTCTTATATGTGCGTTATGTGTCCTTTGTAAATTGCCATGCAGTTTAAACTTATTTGTTATTGGAATTGAAACATCATCAGTTACTGCATGCGTGTACTCATAGATGAGTTCTTTGTGTCTAATGTCTTCATGTAAGTTGTTTATGTGCTTCGTACCAATTTAATGAGTCAAGCCATTTACAGCTGATTTTTAAAGTTGTTCTTGTGTTGTGATGTAACACCATTGTCCAAGGATGGCACAGGAATGAGCGCTCACAATCATGGTAAACCCCGCCACATTCAACATGGGCATGTCCCAAGTCAGGAGTCTGTAAGTCTGTGGTTGTCGTTGGTTTCTGTATGTCATATTTGTTTTACGTGTATTGTTTTGTCATAAATCAGACCATTGTTTTTAACTCGTTTGAATTGTTCCACGTGCTGCCTTCTCGGGCTCTTTTATAGCTTACTATACAGTAAATGTGACATATATAAAAATAAGAAGATGTGGTATTATTGCCAATGAGAAAACTCTCCACCAGAGACCAAATAACGTAGAAGTTAACAACTATATGTTACCTTCAACAATGAGCAAAATATAGTTGTTTAAATCCGCTTCATTTGGACTCTGTTGAATAGCTGTTCATTGGAGATGATACTACATCTCCTTATTTTATAAACATATTCAAAAAAATTTTAAAAAGTCAAACTTGAACGCAAAGTAATTATCATCTTTATATGTGATTTTTATCTATCTATATTTATTTAAGGGGAGGTGGTACGAATATCTGTTCCTTGAGTGTAGTAAGGAAAGTAAATGTGCAAAATAGTTATAAGAGGGTGTATACGGTGAGAGATATAAGTACTTTTGGAATCATACAAACTTGTAATTTTTAAAATCATGTCTTTGGAAAATAATGAAGTTGGAGATTCTGAAAAACTTTACAAGTCTACAAGAACTTTGTTATATTCTCGTTTAACTCCATGCACTATCCATATATCATGGAAGAAAAGACATATGCACGTACTTTACGCTAAAATGTTCCAGCCATTTCAAAATTAGAAATCACTACCGATTAATTTGTTAACTATAAAGTTATCATTTTAGTATATTTGACATAAAAAGAAACCCTAATTATATTCACTGTTGGATTTTTCTGGTAACACATTGTCAAATGTAGGCGTATAAAATGCATGCCGATTGATTCATCATATGTATTTTTATAAGGAACATACGAACGAGGATTGTATTCTTCCGTTTTTTCTACATTAGGTTTATAAAAATAACTAAGTATATATCAATATATATTTCACTTGGATTGTTACGTAACAAAATATAGATAAATGTATCGCCTGGGATGAAAGAAGATATGACAACTGACTTTGATTAAACTGCTGTTCAAAGCAGATAATGTATTTAATTAGATATTAAAAAAAACAATTTCTCAGTAGTACAAATATGTCTCGCCCTTTGATAAGTCCAACATTTCGTCATTTAGCTATTTGTAATCGTGAAATAAAGTTCGCCTCTCATAATATTCGAATACCCACGAACACTAGAACTAGAGAAACACGACTACGTGCATTTACATCTGAATATGAATTCATATGAATGCACTGACAAAATACTCAACTACCAAAATAATCTGGAGAAGCAAGTTTTAGAAACGTTTTTCTTTCTTAAATAAAACACACACACACTCACTGTCACATGCACAAACTCACAAAACACACGCAGGACCGTTTTCTTGTTAACAACACTAATCGAGAAAACCCGAGATGCCGTTACATCTAAAAATATCCAAATTCTTCTGTAACGGAGAATTTCTTTATGTTTTACTATGCGGAACATATTGTTTATACCTTTTGATTGTTTCTACATCTGTATCAATCTAAAATTGAAGCTATCAATACTTCTCTGATATTTTGAAGGGCCCATAACACTGGCTTTTATCTTAATTTTCGTTTTAAAATGTAGGTAATCAAACATGTGCAGGTGTCTATTTGTTAATGTACAATCTTAAAATGATGGAGTTATTAATTTTGCCAGAGAATTGTCAGTAATCTTTACTCTTAATTCTTTTGGGTTTTATATATCATATATATATAACCAGTTAAGAAGAATTTGATTATACAGTATATTTGAGCACACATCTTACTTTTTAAATGTTTTCTCCAGTCGTTGGTTTTCCACTTGGTACGTTCTGACATCTTTTATAACACCGAGAATGATGGATTCGAAATGTTGGAGGAGTTCTGGATTGTCCGAGGCATGCAGTTGTTGGTAAAGATCACATACTTGTTCTTGGCTGGAATGGAGAAAAACAAACTTTTGTCACGCGATCATGTTCTTCATAAAAATGTAACTTTAAAATAAATGTGTATATCCATCAACCCTGAAAACCCCTCATTATCTTGTACATTGAACTTACTAAAAAAATAGATAATGTAAAAACAAATAAAATATTTAGAACCTGTTGTGTTAACAACGACAAAACATGTTCAATTATTGTTTTTTTTCCAACTAGATAATGAAAATCTAGAGCCAACATCAAAATTTATTCATTAAATCACCTACATAATTATTATTAAACGTTTACAGCCAATTCAACTCTGAAAAATCAGACCGATGCGCTGTTGATCCATTAAAGTGAATATCACTACCCCCCCCCCCCCCCCCCCCAAAAAACAACAACAAACACACAAAAAGGTCTTTAACAAAAGACAAGTAATTTGATGCTACTCTCGCGACTCAACGGTCCACCAGAGGCAGAAGATACCGAAAGAGATATTCAACTATTCTAAGTATATATAGCCATTCCAATTCAAAACTTTATAACACGTTGCGATCTTGGTGGATGTTTAATCTTATCTGTAATTTTTTGAAATTTCTTAAAAGATGAACATTTTGTTACAGTGCCAGCATTTTCAGTTGTCAAAATGTATTTTGAGTGGGACATTACAACAGAAAAATAAAGCTTTGCAATATAAATATATCGTTATTTTGGTAAAAAATTAAAACTACAAAGCACAAACTCGCATATTTTATTTATTTATTTGGTTTATATTCTTTTAAATTATATGTAGAAAATGGATTTTTATTGCATTATTGTGAAAAAAAAAGAACTTGAATTGGAACAACCTGCTACCTACCATATTTTTTAAAACAGACACCAATATCGTGCACAACGTCATAAGTGTTACCTTGTTTAAATTTTGTAAGTGCATTTCTTCTTTTTACTGTTTCAAATATAATAATTTGTATGCTAATTTGAGAAGAGGCATGTTGTCTTTAGTATTTTAAAAAAGTTATAAGAAAACCAAAAATAAAAACAAACTGACTTAGTTTTGAAACAGATGCTCAATTAGGCAGATTACTTTTAATTTAGATTGATTGATTGGTGATTGCTTTACGCCGAATCAGCACAAAAAAGGCTATATCGCGGCGTTTTAATTTAGAAAATTACGTTATAAATGTTCCAGCTGTAATGATCATAAGATCGTTTAATGATTGTTTAATAACTATCAAGTATTTTTTAACCCTTTGTTATGAAGGAGATGCTTCAATGAGACAGCAATACAACGAAACAAAAGACATTTATAGGTAAACATGAATAATGTCTTCAACAATAAACAATTGTCTATACAATATGTCAAATTCTACATCCCCCGAGTCTAGGACGGCTGTGAAAATTTCAACAATGACTTATCAAGGATTTGCCATCAGCACCAAATTCTCTATATGACAAAAGCATCATCAAGATTTATCTTAAGACAACAACAGACGAGGTACCTGACTTGGCATAGGCACAGGGACAGGCACATGTGAACGAAGACTAAATCAGATAATACAAAAATGATGATGTCTTGTAATAATAATGGCAGCTATACTTCGGATTGTATATAGAGATAATGATTGCCAATGAGACAACTATCCCCCATCATAGAACAAAGAACAAGATTGTAAACAGCTACAGTTCAACTTCCGGTCTTCGGTGATGGACTAAAATAATATCGTATGGTTAGTTAGCTATTAAATGCCAATAAATTGCAAATGTACACACTATGTACAAATATACATTTTTGTCATTAGAGGTAACTTAAAATATATTTGCAATGTGTACATATTTTGCATAGAAATATCATCTTAATGCAAAAAGCTTATTCAAGCCATTTCTTGCATTTGACTTTTAGCATTAGCATGTTCTTATAATAAATCCCGTTTGCAAATGTATATTTGACCGTGCTGAATATGATTGAAATCGTGTTGCAATCAATGAAACAAATCACATATTAATGAAGAGGAAGTCTTTAGAAAGTATGTATAGAATGTATACCATTTAATGGGGAAATAATGGATGCAGTTAGCTATACTGATGGGGTAATGTTAAGGAGTAAAAAATATCACTTTGGCTTTCAAACGAATATCCCTTTTTGGCACATTTTACCAAACACAACAAACAAGTCATTTGGAGGAAAAAAAGAAAACAACACTTTATGACTGTCAATTAACATAAGATCATTGATAATAAGTTATTAGTAATACATAACAGGAATTACAAATATATTGGACAACAGACCACACTAACCACCAACACTCCTAAAAACCCAGACAGACAACAACGGACAACACATTGTCCACATAGTCGGACTAGGTAATGTGGTGGGTTTAAACCAGTTAAACGTGCGGTTTTGTTTGTCCACATAGTCTGACCAAGTAATGTGGTGGGATTAAACCAGTTTAACGTGCGGTTTTGTACACATAATCTGACTAGGTAATGTAATGGGTTTAAACCAGTTTAACGTGCGGTTTTGTTTGTCCACATAGTCTGACCAAGTAATGTGGTGGGATTAAACCAGTTTAACGTGCGGTTTTTCCATATAATCTGACCAAGTAATGTGATGGGATTAAACCAGTTTAATGTGCGGATTTGCTTATGTCGTACATACAAAGCATATCATAAAAAACCAGCACGGTCCAGCTAATAACAGGGTAACCACTTATTTAAACTAGTAAATAAAGTCGGCCCATGATTTAGAAAACCTGATCAAAATGTGCTCGCCATTGTTAACCAACAATAACTTAATGTAACAAAGAGGTCAAGCTGGTGAGAAACCGCCATTAAAACAATGACATTAAACAAAAGAATATCGTATAATGGTCACATATGGAAAAAACTAAACAAACATTACGAACAATATAAATAAAAGTGAATGTTTGGTAAAAACAAGAGTACATTTATTTGTTTATCTCTGGTGTTTTTTGTTTTCTGTATCTGCATGTATAGTTAATAATCAGGACATATGTCCTGGACTACTTTATGTAGAAGATTACGCCATAAGCTTTCCAGCTGTTAATAGTTATATATGATATTTAAGTAAGCAAACAAATAAAAAAATCGGGTTTGTCCATCGACATATTAAAAATACATCCATATTACCAATACAGTTAATTTGTTATACTATACAAATCTGATCTAAGTAAAGGTTAAATGAAATCAATTGAGTAGTAATAGAATATATACATTAATAACAGAAAACTAAAGCAACCCAACAATACAATAAACAAACAAAAAACGACAGTAAAAAACCTTTTAACTACAAACCATTCATATTCCATGCGCATGACTTTAAATTTTATAAGCTCGCACAATGAATCATTAATTGTCTGTAACGAAAAACGTTTCTCTATTTCAAATTGATATAAAGACAAAATATAACTGTTCATCAATGCAACTCTCAAAGACGCCATACTTATCAAGTGTCATCAACACTCCAAATTCATATTTTTATTATTCCGTCTGTTTTCATCAACATAAATTAAGTATGAATAAATAATGTAGGAGATACCGAACTAACAATGTCAAATGGGTAAATAAATCTAAATATAGAGGACGAACCAGACAACGCGACAAAAACACATGGGTCAACATAAAACAGAAACCTTTGGGCAAATTCTAACAGTGATATCATACTCTAACAGTGATACCATATTCTGTGAAAGGATAAACAACAAACAGACAATGTCGGAAAACTTTTGTTCTGTACAGTCACAATTCAGTTAAATGATCCAAAAACACTTGAAATTACATTCTATACCTAAATTGTGACTTCATGTTATGAGAATAGGCTTTCAAATTAAAATCACATATACAGGATTCTATTTTGATAGTGTTCTTTTGATGATTTTTCAGTTTCAGTTCAACGTAAATGACTTATTGTCTTGTATCTCAAAAATCGTTAATGAAGAGCTATATAAAAGTAAATTCGCTTTGACAGTTACCACTGAATCGTTAGACGGGTGCTGCTTGCACAACAGGAGATGCTTACCTTCTGATCACACCTGGTCACACCACGTTTTGGAATCGTATGACGTGTGATGCATGTACAGAAGGAGTTGCATAACCATCCGATGCACCTCGTCTCATTCCATTATGAGTTCACGCGATTCCACTTCCACGTTTTTCGTTTTATACCTGGACTTTGAGATCTGACCTCAACATTGGTATACCACCTTTATATTATCAATCACTACGATTTATACTCAAGTGGTTAACTTCTTTCAGATTCTGTTACGAGAATTATTAAAGCATTGACATACTTCTCCAAATTAGTATTCATTTGTCCTTCCGTGTCCTATTGTACTCCGCAACTCGTTGGAAACATATGATATTTCGCTTCATTCTTTTTATTTGACAGGAATTGGAATTAGAATATCATATAACATGTTGCAACAAACATGATATTGCTTGATATTGAAACGCCAAATAAGATTAGACTGGATATTGAAGATTATCAAGAAAATTTTAGAATACTTCTCATTTTGTGATTGGTAAAACTCTCAAGCAAACTTTTTGTAGATACTAGCGCTTATCTGTACATTAAAATATATAATACGATTTTTGTCGAGTCCTAGATTACAAATTGTCATGGAATGCAAATTTGCACACTGATTCATTTATATATCGAAAACGACAAAATTAGCAGTATTGAAACTCATCTGCGATTGCTACGATGGAAGATGAAATTTTCTTATAAAATGATAATCTATATAAGTTCTTAACAAACTACCTGAAACTGATATGACTTTTACCATGTTTACATAGATACAATATACACAGACGAATTCGCGTGAAACAGGATATAAGTTGTCGTAGATTTGGGAAAGATACAATTACCTTTTGTCTGACAAAACATCTAAATCCGTTTTAATTGTATCATGAGATTCCAGTGATGGTAATCTTTCCAATGTTTGTGCACCTTTCCGTCTTGGACTTGGCGATGGTGTACATAAGTCTTTCTTAGTAATGACACCATCGTCATCACTGTCAACTGCTGCAAAGATTGTTTGAAGTTCCTCCGATGATAGATTCAGACGATCTGCCACGTGTCGAAATGAGTCGATTGTGTACGATTCATCCTCTCCAACATCCGAAAACACTACTTCAGGGACTTTCTTAAACATGTTTTATCCATTTGAAGTTTAGGAATATATGTCCAAAATTCTAGATGATAACTTTACACCTGTGTGCACTGCACACAATTTTTAAATAACATAAAAGTTTCTTTCTATTCACTATGATCCTATCTTTTATTTTTCCTCTTTCACGGTCTGTTTATTGGTTTAAACGTTATATTAAATCCTATTTTATTTTATTTGTTCTCCTTTCATAATAAATGTCACAATATTTTGGTTCCCAACAGCTGTCTTTATATCTTCAGTATTTACAGGTGTATATATTTCTTATTTTCTCAAAACTGATAGCAGGTAATTGACAAATACAATGCATAGTTTTACAGTTGTGGGCGTCCATCTTTGTGTGTAATCTCAAATATTGTTGTAATACGTTTTAATTTTAATTTTCTTCTTAATTAACTATCCACTGACACTATCTCCGACGTCCAAATTTCTGTCCACACTACATGTACATTGTTTGGATAGTATCAAAGGACATCTATGTTTACAGGTGAGAGTGACTTTTGACAGATTATTTTAGTTTATGAACCTATAATCAACACCCTTTATCTCAGTCACGATCTGTGAAGTTTGTTGTCGAGAACTTTTAACATAACGAGGAAAAGTAAATATGATTTTTCTATTATAGTAAGTCGACAACCTATTTAAGTTGTTACCATTTACTATAATAATGGAACATACAAACTTTTCTTTCAGAACAAAGCGTTCGTGACAGTCATTGTGAACTTCTATTTCATTGATAAGATGACTTTACATCAGACCCATACGTCTGCTGTATTCTGAAACAATTCTATATGGAATACTCCACGGAATTTACATGATGAACAATTAGTGTTTGTTTTGTACTGACGTTTTTCTTGCTGCCAGCTGAATTTATAAATTTGAGAGATGGCTTTCCTGAATGTTCTCCATCACGCAATGCAATTAAACCTCCTATTTTTAAATCAAATCGTGTGCGACAATCTCTCAACTAAACTCTCCAGTTTTATAACTATGCTTCTTTCCGAATATGACTATTTTGTTCATTGTTCATTTTTGATTATATTCACCTGGGTCCAAAAATGGTATAATTGAACGAGGTATGTTTGTTCTTTGTCATAATATTTTACTCACCTTATCCCTTATAATGCCTTATATAAACTTATGTGTTTTTGTGACTACCTTTTATTTGAATTGTCCCAAAAGTAAATATTATTACATATTAGTTCCGCTAAGGGTCATCCTTAATGTCCTAAATGTTATATGATTAAACTTAACTAAACAATACTGGCAAGCAAAACATTAAATTTAATTTTAAATACATGTATAAATATTTATAGTTCATCTACAAATTTTCCAATTATGAATAATCTTCATGTCAAATTTAACTAGGCCTCTGGCAAGCTGGAAGGGTAGCTTTTTTTTATCTTTAGAATTTTGTTTCCTATCTCTAACTTGTAACTATGTTTTTGGTTTTTATATGAAGCTTAGTATTTCGTCGAATACTGAACAAAGTAAGTGAAGATGATGCAATACACATACAACAATTTTTCACAAAATAAGAAGAAAGTATGATTGTTTATATCATGTATGGAAGATATTATACAGTGTATCTTTTTAATACCAAATATTATTAGTATATAACTATAGTTAAGTTATCTTCGATTATAAAGCAACATATATATATATATATATATATATATATATATATATATATATGAAGACGGGCACTGAAATCTAAACCTTGTGAGTGATGAATTTTAGTAAAATTGGACGTGATATCCAGCAGAGCTATTCATCATGCAGTACTATAAACCAAAAAATCATTATTAAAAAATCTAATTAAAACGTATACAAATGCTAGATCGAAATCAATAGTCCAAATAAATGTCAGATGTTTGTCATTCAAGCATGCATCGCCTGTCATGCATACTTATATATTTTTCAGATCATAAAGGTTCCAATGTTAAATATGAATATGAAAATCTTTTTAGTATTACAGGTCACAGAAATTCTCAGAATGGATATATATTTAACATGGTTTTACCCAAATTCGCATCAAGCGAAGTTATACAGATAAAGATATAATAAGGCCGATTTAAGGTGGTACCTAACACTACAGGGAGATAACTCTGTAAAAATCAGCTAAACGTTTTAATTACGTTGTATTGTTAAGGAAATATTAAGCTTCTCAATGATCAAAATTAGTGTTTGTCAAACTGCTATATAACCAACGAAATTTTTCTGATAAAGTGGTTGGTTCAAATTTTTTGAAATTTTTATATTTTTGTCAAAGGGTCAAAGTAAACATTTTGTCAAAATTTTATGAAAATTAAACGAGCCAAATTAATATTAGTCAAGGTGTTGGGTACCACCTTAAGGAGGTAATCTATTTACAAAGGTTACGTGTTAGTTTCCTTTTGGCAAATGACTATTACGAATGATTATAATAAGCACGTATATAAATATGTATTTTGTTCTTGTTTACACAAACACATCATGTATTGAAAAGTAACCTCGTATCATGGTATACAAAGGACAATCTCTACTCAAATCTTCAACTTCATACAAATATCCCCAAATAACAAAGGTGACGTCTTATTTGATCATTCTAAAGTACAGGAAATTAAAGGAAAATTTTTATTTATATCATTCTTGCTCTTTAAAGGTAAATTGTATACAAAAATAGAGGGCGATACGGGAACTTTAACAGTTGTTTACTTTCCCCAAGTACGTCACATTGCACAAGATAATATGTAAGTTGCACATAAATGAAAGGGTATGACAGTATTTGCTTCTATCTTAGGCTAGGTAATGTACGTGAAGCATAATCATAGAGAAAAGATAGAAATTGGCGAATGGTTAGGATGGTAAATGTGACCTTAAGATGCTATCATACACGTCTTTTGAACAATGGTGGATAGTTTCATTGGCATTTCCTTATTTCTATACATATACTGATCTTCGTGTTGTATGAGAATGGTCCTTCTATTTAAATGTCATCTTGTTCTATAATCAGTCTGTATGTGAGGTATATAGATTAAAAATCACAGAAACATAATATACTGTAAGATTTACTGATTAAAGTTTATTGGATACTCTCAATGTCTAATATTTGAAAACCAAAGCCAGATGAAAACTTCGATATTATTTTTCAGATGTTAAAAGAGAACTGATAACATTGTCACGATTGTGTCAACTCTACATGGAGAAGTTAGGACATTAGTTAAAGTAAAAATTAATATGTGTTACAAATATGATTTGTTTTATACACCCATCGAAGACGGAACGTATTATGGTATAACAATGTCCGTCCGTCCGTCAATCATCAATTCGTTCGATAACTCAAGTTCGCGTTAACCAATTCTCACTACATTAGAATTGACGGAAGAAAGCTCATTTCGATTTTTTTAAATTTTTGACTTTGTCATTCCAGAGTTACGGAACTTTGACCCTTTGATTTAAGGCTATGCTTCACAAATCACACACTAACTCCAGTATTCCTTATTTGATTTCATCCAAACTTTACATAATTGTGTGGATTGGTGAAAGGAAGCTCCCGGCTTGCAATTTTTTTTTAATTTTTCGGTTTGTCGTTCCAGTGTGACGGAACTTAACTTTTACATTTAATGCAATTTTCACAAATCACGCTCTAACTCCAATATTCCTTGGTTGATTTCCTCCACACTTAACATTCTTATGGGGATTGATGAAAGGAAGCTCCCTTATGATTTGTTAAATTAAAAGTTTCCAGTTTGTCGCCCCAGAGTTATAGGACTGTAATTGTCAGATTTTAGTAAAATTTTCTCATTTTGTACCATAACTTGAGTTTGCTTGGATTGGTTTAGTGTTGAAATTGGTGAACATAACAAACTGTTTGATTTAAACGGTATCCTCGGGCATGTTATTCAATGGACCGATTCTATATGCTTATGATTTAATGCTTTGCAACAATTTCAATATGCACAATAAAGGCGTATCATGCGCTCTTAACGCAGCTGTTTATTTAAAAGTCCAAACAACGAAGAATTTACGTCTTATATAAAATGTCCCATATAAGACTGTGGTCTTACCAACTAGCAAAAAAATATGATATAAATGTACTATTGACTTTTGTTGATTTATGAATGAAGATCTTGAAGAATGAATAATATACATTTTCACCATGGTTTTCGAATTAAATACAGATTATAATTCCGTTCTAATATTAAAGTTGAATTATTAGTAAACATGTGACCAATTGTTTACTTATAATGGGTTCTATATTAGTCTGTAACAGTTGGTATACATGTCCAAGGAGCGGTCGTTGTTTTTTTTATAGAAATAAATTTAGAAAATTGTTTTAGTAATTGAACTGATGGTAGAAATTTAAATAATTAACAAAATGTGATTAGGTGTAACTGAGTATAAAAGTGTTGTGGATATGCCATCAACAACAACAACATCGTCAAGAAAAATAAAAATATTATATTATAAATTCTGTCGGTCAAACAATGCAATCTTCTACAAAATTAAGAATGGTTTTATTACAGTTTTTCACTGATGGTATGAACAAATAAATTCCCCCCATTGAAAAAAAAATACCGTTTCTACATAAATGACCATTGATATTTTTCTGTAAAGGGGTCGGTAACATGTGGCCTGTAATCTTTGTAACAAAGGTCTGTAGTGGGAGGTTTTACATCAATCCTATAAACCTAACGAAGTGAACACTCGTGTCGTACTTTTAAAGTCGGTAAGATATATTGGTAAAATCTAGGAAATAACGATGGCTTCAAAGACTGCACAACATTAGCTGGTAATACATGAATGGTTTAGGTAAAAATATAACATTCAATATTTTTCCTCGCCAAACAGTGTCTTAGTGAAAACAAATTGGAATCTGATTTCAACAATAAAATGCAAAAGAATAAGGTAATATATTTAACAAAATAAATAAATATAAATAAATATAAAGACCAATTTTAGTCTAAAATTAATGGTGTTCTATGAAATGCATAAATGTGCTTGTATTGCAGGAATCACCAATCAGACAATTCAGTAAGGTCAAACCAGTTAACGGTTTTGAAAAATAATAATCTATGGTATGATTTAAGATAACTTTGAGAATGTTTTAACCAAATGTACGTGCATTCTATATAAAGGTGCACATTTTGCGAATTTCATTTAATCACAGTTAGAAAATGATCAGGTTAATGCAATATTTTGTTTATATTTCAGTTTGAGTCAAAAGATGTGTTCAATGTCCAATGTGTATACAAAATGCTACAATAATCTGACATCGTCCATTCAATACTGAACCACGATTTAAAATAACAAACAATAAATTTAAAGGTTAACAGCGCTGACTTATGCGTACATACATTTATATAAAAAATACATGTTTCATAAAATACATCAAAAATGTCAAGGTGACATAATTGACTCATTTGGATAACCTGTCGCAAAAAATATTTGCATATTTAATCAATAATTATCGGGATTTCATAATTGTAATGCTTATATTCAAACACCTACATAACCCAGCTAAATTAATATAGACCATATCTGGGCTGAATGTTTCTTAACCATGTATCTGATACTGCAACAGGTGTACGAGAAATAACAAAATAAAACAGCCATAATGATGACTAATAC